AGCATGAACTGGTTGGGCCAAAGGGTCTGTTTCTGTGCTGTATGACTCTATGCATACAGTATGAGAGAGAGTTGGCTTTCCTTTCAGCCAGCAGCATGGAAAGGTGGTATCCAGAAAACTGATCTTTGCTGCTTAAAAGGAATCCAAGCAGTTTTCATGCCAACAAAACTAGTAAAAGGGACCATCACTCACTCCCTGAAGCTGCTGCACCTACTGAACCCACCTACAAAGACAATTTGACTTCAGGTACCCTCATCAAACTCAAACCTTCACTGCAGACAACCACCACCTCATCTGCAAGCTACTGGTCTGCCATGACATCCTAAAGGAATGTCGAACTGAATGTTATTGTTAAAAATATCTTATCCTTCCTTTTCATCTAATCCTCGTAACTCAAAATAATAAAGTTACTCAAGTAACTTACAGCAGCGTTTTCTAGTTAAAAAAATCTTTATCTTGTTTAAAAGCTTTGCAGCTGGTTATTTTAAATTGAATAACTTGAAATTAATAGGGAGTTACACACAACCTTACACAAACACAAATTCACAGACCACTTGAGGCAACATCTTTCTTGTGGTTGTGACACAAGTCTCATATAATGAATAGTTTACATTACGCTAAGCTACAAAGGAGTTGATGCATTTCAAAAAGGTAGAGTGAGGATAAATCAGGAAAAGCAATATGCAAGGGCAAGGAAAGATTATAGAGTCATACAGCATGGAAACACATCATTCGGTCCTTTCCCATCCATGCCAACCAGGTTTCCCAAGCTGAACTAGTCCCTAAGGTTTTGGAGTAGATCTGTAGCTCGGGTTGTGGGTGTTGAGGTTGGTTGGCTCGCCGAGCCGGTTTGTCGTTCCGCAGACGTTTCGTTACCGTGCTTGGTAACATCCTCAGTGCAGCCTCTGATGAAGCGTCGGTGTGTTTTCCCACCTGGTTTTTAAACTCTGGGGTCCGTTGCGATGGATTGCCTCACTTCCGGGTTTCCTCCGTAGTGGAATGTATATGGGGTCGAGTTCAATGTGTTTATTAATAGCATGCTTCGTGGAGTGCCATGCTTCCAGGAATTCTCGTGCTTGTCTCTGCCTAGCCTGTC